GCTGAGTTATATTTACTCCTAGGTTGAGGTTTTTGTTTATTTTATGTATGTTATGCTTTTTATATTGTTTTGTTGGGGGATGTAGTCTCTTTCTCTATGTTAACCCTCACCTGAGGATATTTTCCATTGACTTTTAGACAGAAAGGGTGGGAGGGAGAGAGTGACATACTCACACAGAGAGAGAGAGAGAGAGAGAGAGAGATGAGAGAGACACATTGATTGGTTGCCACCTGCATGACCTGAATGGGGCTGGGGATTGAACCTACAACCCAGGTATGTGCCCTTCACTGGCAATCAAGCCTTGCAACCCTTTGCTCCTCGGGCCTTTGCTCTAACTACTGAGCAAACTGGCCAGGGTGGGAATGTAGTCTGTTTGCCATGCAACTTTTATCATCTTATTCATGCTTTGGAAGAATACTTTTAGACATTTACTGTACTATAATTTAGGTAATTTCATGAATAAACCTGTGTGGGGAGGAAGGAACTTTCCTCTGCCCTCAAGTTTGTTTTGGCTAATCTAATAATTAAATAGGTATGGAAACCACTTATACATGTGAGAGTATAGACCTCACATGAATGAGAGGTTCTGAGATAGAAAGGGAAAATGGGTATATCAGTCATTCTGAGCCAGGGATAAGGTAAGGTGCCTTAGCGTCTTTAAAGGCTCTTTGCAGGATGATGCTTAGAAGAGCAGATGTTTAATAAGTAAACATTTACCATGCCCTTTAGATAGATCAAAAGAGGTTTTCTCTGATATGCTTCTGTTAGGGGCAAGGCTTCTAATTCAAGTTCTTCTGAGGTAGTTAAGAGAGGGGCAGAAGTTTCTCTTGAACCAGAGACTAAAGTTGTCGTTAGCTCAAATCAGTCCATATACCAGAGGCATATCTTGGGGTGACTTATTTTGAACCCCACACCTGCCTTTTCCCTTTCTGATTTTTTGCTTTAGAAAAAAATAGAAGTCCAGTTGGTGTGGCTCAGTGGTTGAGTGTCGATCCATGCACCAAGAGGTCGCCAGTTCGATTCCCGGTCAAGACACATGCCCAGGTTGTGGCCCTGATCCCCAGTGTGGGGCATGCAGGAGGCGGCCAGTCATGTTCTCTCTCATCGATGTTTCTATCTCTTTCTCCCTTTCACTTCCTCTCTCTTTAAAATCAATAAAGGGGAAAAATTTTTTTTTAAAGAAAAAAATAGAAATGTCTTTCCCTTTTTTTAAAAATCCTCACTGGGAGGATATCCTTGCATTTATCTTCAGACAGAGTGGGAGGGAAAAGGGGAGGAAGAGAGAGAGGGAAACATTGATGTGAGAGAGACACATCGACTCTCTGCCACCCACACGACCCCATCTGGGGCCGGGGACAAACTGCAACCAAGGTACGTGCCCTTAGCAGGAACTGAGCCCGGGTCTCTCTGGACTGTGGCGACGACGCTCTAACTGATGAGCCAAACCAGCCAGGGCCCTTTTTTTAAAAATCCTCACCTGAGGATATTTTTCCATTTATTTTCAGATAGAGTGGGATGGAAGGGTAGAGAGAAACATTGATGTGAAAGAGACACATCGATTGGTTGCCTCCCGCATGACCCCGACCAGGTTGAGGATGAACCACAACCAAGGTACGTACCTTTGACCAGAATCAAACCTGCAACTCTTTGGTCTGCAGGCTGATGCCCCAACCACTGAGCCCTCCACTGAGGGCTCTTCCCATTTTGTAAAGTTAGATCAAGACTTTTAAAATATTTTCCCCTGCCCAGCCAGTGTGGCTCAGTGGTTGAGCGTCGATCAATGCACCAAGAGGTCACCGGTTGGATTCCCAGTCAGGGTACCTGCCCAGGTTGTGGGCCAGATCCCCAGTGGGGGGCATGCAGAAGGCAACCAATTAATGTTCTCTCTCATTGATGTTTCTATCTCTCTCTCCCTTTCCCTTTCCTTTCCTCTCCTTCTAAGACCAATAAATAAAATAAGACATTTTCTCCCAGCCTTTCACATTATTTAAATTTTTATTTTTTTAGCCCTCACCCGAGGATTTTTTTCTATTTATCTTCAGATAGAGTGGGAGGGAGAGAGAGAGAGAGACATCCACAGGAGAGGGACACATAAACTGGTAGCCTCCTGCACACCCTGACCAGGGTCACAGATGAACCACAACCAAGTTATGTGGCCTTGGCTGGAACCAAACCTGCAACTCATTGTTTCACAGCCCAGCGCACTACTGCTGAGCCAAACTGGCGAGGGCAGACTATTTTCATCTTTATTTAACTCTTTAGAATAATCCTTTTGGTTTTTATTTTGTATAAAATACTTTTCCCCAAATTATTATCTAGTTTTTCTAGTACCATTATTAATTTCAGTCTTTCCCTGCTTGTTTGGAATGCTTTCTCATCATATACTATCAATATATAACTGAACCTTTTCCTGGAATTTATTTTTGCTTTGTTGATCTATTAAAATCAACGTATGTCTTTAGTGACTTTCATTAGACTGTTTCGATTAATATTTTAAAGGCCAATAATATGAATATAATTTATTTCCAGTTTGTTTCCCTGAACATTTGAAGTCCTCATCGCAGGATACATTTCTTGATATATTACACAGGACCATAGTTTTGTATTATTCCATGATGAGCTACATATATTGATGTTCTCACACATGTATATGTACATACTTTGCCTTTTATTCTCATGTGCTTTTCAAGTCTTTAGAATTTGTTTACCTTGTCATTATTTAGGGTCACTCACTATTAAATTATCCCAGATCTTATATTCGTTCAGAATAAAACCCAGTATGAGAAGTAGAACATGAAGAAAGAAAGAAAGAAAAGGTTTCTTTATTATCTTTATGGGACAAAAACATTGATGTAGAACTTACAGACCAGGATCATTTGAACCTCATATTTATAAGTTAGATTGTATAAGTATACTTATTTGGTGTATCAATCATCTTATTTACAGGCCTGGGCCTAGATGGTACTGACTGTAGGCTGGGGTACTTCAGAATGTAGGGCCTCATTCTCCACTTGGCCTATCAGGAAAGTGCGAACTGATTGTTTACATGGTGGCTGGAGGATCCATGGGTGCAAAGGTGCAGGACTACTTAAAGCTCTAGGCTTCTGAACTTGGCACAGCATCACTTCTGCTACATCCTCTTGGCTAAAGCAAGTCACAAGGCTCACCCAGGTTCGTGGGAGTGGAGAAGAGGACATTTTATGATGGGAAGGAGGAACAGTGACATTCTGGTACACAGTAATGGAGGCATGATTCCTTGGTGGTCTTTATTATGATTTGTCACAATTAAAAATAACTTCAGAGTAAGAAAGTTTTGTTAAAAATAATAAGCCTGGCCAGTGTGACTCAGTGTATTGAGCATCATACCATAGACTGAGAGGTCCTGGTTTGATTCCCGGTTAGGGCACATGCCCAGGTTGTAGGCTCGATCCCCAATAGAATGGGGTGTGCAGGGGGCAGTTGATCAATATTTCTCTCTCATTGATGTTTCTCTCTTTCCCTTCCTCTCTCTAAAATATCAATAAAAAACATTAAAAAATAAATAAAGACTGCTTGTGGTGTCTTAGATACTCTGTTGCAAAAGTATCAACATTACAGTCAAGAAATGTTTTATGGCCCTGGCCGGTTTGGCTCAGCCGTTAGAGCATCGGCCTGTGGTCCAGAGAGACCCGGGTTTGGTTCCCGCTAAGGGCATGTACCTCGGTTGCAGTTTGTCCCCGGCCCTGGTTGGGTTGTGAGGGTGGCAACCACTCGATGTGTCCCTTTCACGTTGATGTTTCTCTCTCTCTCTCTCTCTCTCTCTCTCTCTCTCTCTCTCTCTCCCCCCCCCACTCTATCTGAACAAAAAAAAAAAGAAATGTTTTATGTAATTTTATCAGGAATTAATGACAAGTGGCAGTACTTGGGTATTATGGTAAAATATCTATCTTTAATTTTTATGCTTTTTGTTTTGTTGGTGTGTAATCTCTTTTAGGGCAGAGGGCCAGTGATTAATCTTTCATGTCTTGAACAGATTATTAAGTGCTCTGAATAGTTAATTATAAGTACTATAAGAACTGAGTTGAATCAACTCTTTAAATAGTAGTAAACTTCACCCCCCTATGCTGATTCTTACCTACTGATTCAAACCATTGAGAACAGTTTGGTTAAAAATTTCTGACATTGAATATGGTGGGGCTCCTGTCCCGTCTGATGTTGTGCTCAGTTGGTTGCAGTATCATCCTGTGCACTGGAAGGTTGCAGGTTTGATTCCCTGTCAGGGCACATGTATCTCTCTAACATCAGTGTTTCTCTTTCTCTTCCTTCCTTCCTCTCTAAAATAAAAAAAGTAAAGTTGGGCTTTTAATACGTAATTAATTTCTTATTTATTTGATGTTTTTTCTTAAATTCAGTTAATCAGTGTTAGGACTTCAAAGTAAACAGCAGACCATAAATTTAAAGTATTTTTGTTAGTGATAACTAAATCATCCATTTTCTGAATAAGCCTAGGAAGATTTCTTGTTCTGGTTTCTAGTTTGTGGGCCATAGAATTTAATGCATGTTGAGGTGAATCTGATACTATTCTGATGTGAAAATGCATGTCAAAATGCTCTGTAAATTTTAAAGTTCTATTTATAAAATGTACGCAAAAGTGTTTTGTGTTTTTAATGAGAAAAAAACATAGTTTGCCAGATATACATGTAGTAAATAATTATAGGCTTCAGTTGTTTGTATATTATGTTGTTCAAGGAAAAGAAAGCTAAAGTCACTTCAGATAACTTATACTAGTACTATTAGATATTTCAGTATATAGTAATGCTGTAATGTAAATATATTAGTAGTATTATTTATATATGAAATAATATGATTATGATCAGAAGTGATTTTACAGTTATTTTTGACAAGTATTTGTTAACATTTCAAATTACTAAACACAATTATTTTTTAAAATCTAATTTTTATATTGGGTGAGTTGTGTGTACGTTATATTTAAATTGGATTTTACTTCTGTTTATTTTTAGAAATATAAAGAAAAGGACAAACACAAGCAAAAACACAAGAAGCAACCAGAGCCATCACCTGCATTGGTTCCTTCCTTGACTGTTACTACAGAAAAAGTAAGTTTTAAATGCCATTTTTTGTTTTATAGAATAATCAATTATGTGCTGACTTTTACCTTTAAGAATTTATTTTCATTCCCTGTGTCCTAGTTCCCTACCTCTCTAACCCTACATCACGCATTTTGGCATTTCCATTTCTTAGTTCTTAATCTACCTTCTGTTTTTACCATACTTATTTCTGAAGAATGTTAACGATAATCAGTGGGGAAACGTCATTGAGATTAGGGCTTTGTTCACTTGTGATTTTGAATTCTGGCTTCTCCATTTAACTGACTGAGCTCTAAGGACAGGTTAATTAAGCCTCTTTGTTACTCAAGTTCATTATTTGTAAAGCAAGGGAAATAACTATTAGAATTAAATGATATAATATATTTAAAGCAATTAGAACAATGTCTGGTTCATAGTAAGGGCTACATTGTACCATGTTAAGTGTTACTAAGATTATTGTCACATGGTTAGTATGAAAACAAATGGATACAGGGACAGGTGAATGGGACAGAGTAAGCAAGGATTATGGGTGGTGCAAGGTACAGTAGGAAATGAAGCCACGTGAGGGACCAAACATGTAGGGCTGTGTAAGTCAGTGGAAGGACTTTGCTTTTTTAGGTTGAGTGAAAAGTGAGCCATTGGAGGATCTGAACCTATATATAATATTGTCTGACTTAAATTTTTTTTTAAATATGTTTTTATTGATATTTTTATATAGAGAGGAAGGGAGCGAGAGGTAGAAACATCAGTGTGAGAGAGAAACATCGATTGGCTGCCTCCTGCATGCCCCTTACTGGGGATCAAGCCTGTAACCTAGGCATGTGTCCTCCTGCCCAGGAATCCATGGGACAATGCTCAATCCACTGAGCCACACTGGCCGGGATGACATAGGTTTTTTAAGGACCTCTGGCTGCTTCATTATAGATAGACTGTAGATCCTACAGTCTACAGTGTAGAGAGTCAAGAATGACAGCAGCAAGACCATTAGGAGGTTATTGAAACAATCCAGACAAAGATGGGGGTAACATGGAGGATGGTTAAGAGGTGAGTAGTCTCTGAATCAATACATTTAAATGGCTTTTACTTTGTTGTTAGGCTTAGCTAGGTCAAGATAAAGATTTTAAAAACATTTTATTCTAGCCTTGGTGGTGTGGCTAAGTGGTTAGACCTTTGGCCTGAAGACCAAAGGGTCACGGGTTTGATTTTTGGTCAAGGGTCCATACCTGGGTGTCAGGTTCAAACCCTGGTCCTGGTTGGGGTCGCGTGGGAGGCAACAAATCGATGTGTCTCTCTGTCTCTCTCTCTCCTCTCTCTCTCCCCTTCCTTCCCTCCCTTCTGCTCTATCTAAAAATCAATGGAAGAATATCCTCAGATGAAGATTAACAACACCAACAACAAAAAACGATGTTCTTCTAGCTTCTTAGATTATTTTAATTTTTAAGTAACTCTTTAATCCATCTAGATTTTGTTTTCTTTTGAATAAGGTACTTTTCCCCAAATTACTAATCAGTTATTCTAGTAGTATTATTAAATAATTTCAGTCTTTCCCTGCTGGTTTGGAATCCTTCTGTATCATATACTAAATATTTATATATAATTGAGTCTTTTTCTAGAATTTCCTTCTGTTCTATTAATCTATTAAAATCAGCCTCTGTTTTTAGGTGAATGTCATTAGATTGTTTTAATTCATATTTTATAGGCCAATAATATGAATATAATCTATTCATAGTCCAGTCCCCTGAATATTTGCAGTACTCATCCTAGAATTCATTAACTCTTGATGTATATTACACCGGCCCAGAGTTCTGTATTCTATGATGAGTTACATATATTTACATTCTCACACATGTATATGTTCCTATTTTGCCTTTTACTCTCATGTGTTTTTCAAGTTTCAGAATCTGATCGCCTTTCATCAACTGATTTTAAAAAGGAGTATTGTTATAATCAGATTAACCTGGTAGATTTAAGATAAATAATCTGTTGAGGCCTTGAGTGGTTTGAAAGGGATAGGTGGGTAGATGGTAGAAGACTTGAGCCATACATAGATTCCTTTTCGGAGAACAGTGTCTTTTTTTGTTTTTGTTTTTTCATGTTAATCCTCACTTGAGGATATTTTTCCATTGATTTTTAGATAGAAGGGAGGGAGGGAGAGAAGGATAAAGAAGCATTGATGTGAGAGAGACACATTGATTGGTTGTCTGCTGCATGACTCCAACTGGGGCCAGGGATTGAACCTGCAACCCAGGTATGTACCCTTGACTGGGAATTGAACCCGTGACCTTCCATCCAAGGGCTGACACTAACCATTGAGCAACCTTCCTGGGCAGGAGAACGGTGTCATTTTACTGTTGGTTCATCACACTCTCTTACCTTCTGTTGTGGAAACAGGAATAGATTAGGGAATATAAGTCTGAGTGTTACTCTGAGCTGCAGAGCTTCTTTTAGACCCCATGGTTCACATTAGTAGAGTACATTTTAATTGCAAATCACAGGGAACTTTAATTCATTAACTTTTAAATACCTGTACTACATAGCCAGTTTTTTGGGTTTTTTTTATCCTCACCCGAGGACATTTTTCCATTTTTTGTTCAGGTAGAGTGGGAGGGAGAGAGAGGAACAGAGAGAGAGAGAAACATCGATGTGAAAGGAACACATCGAGTGGCTGCCACCCGCACAACCGACCAGGGCCGGGGACAAACTGCAACCAAAGTACGTGCCCTTAGCGGGAACCGAACCCGGGTCTCTCAGGACCGCAGGCCGACGCTCTAACCGCTGAACCAAACCGGCCAGGGCTACATAGCCAGTTTTGAGTACACATTTTGGACCTTGTTTGTGCCATTTTTCATACGTTAACACAAAATTTGCCCTGACCAGGTGGCTCACTTGGATGGAGCGTTATCCCATACACCAAAAGGTTCAATTACTGGTCAGAGCATATAGTTGTTTTTAATATTTTATTACAATCCTTTGTATTTCTTTGGTGTCTGTTGTTATTTTCCCCCTCTTTGAATTCTGATTTCATTTATTTGGGTCCTCTCTCTCCTTTTCTTGATGAGTCTAGTTAATGGTGTGTCAATTTTGTTTATCTTTTCAAAAAACCAAGTCTTGGTTTCACTGATCTTTTCTGTTGTTATTTTGGATGTTATTTCATTTATTTCTACTCCGATCTTTAGCATTTCATTCCTTCAAATCACTCTGGGCTTTGTTTATTGTTCTTTTTTCAGCTCCTTTAAGTGTTAAGCTAGGCCCTGGCCAGTTTGGCTCAGCGGTTAGAGTGTTGGCCTGCGGTCCAGAGAGACCCGGGTTCTGTTCCTGCTAAAGGCACGTACCTCGGTTGCAGTTTGTCCCCGGCCCTGGTTGGGTCGTGTGGGTGGCAACCACTCGATTTTTCTCTTTCTCTCCTACTCTATCTGAATAAAAATGTGGAAAAATGCTCTCGGGTGAGGATTAAAAAAATAATAAAATTAAGTGTTAAGTTAGGTTGTTTTTTTGGGCTTTTTCTTGTTTCTTGAGATAAGCCTGTAATGCTATTAATTTCCCTCTTAGTACTGCTTTCCCTATGTCCCACAAATTTTGGAGGTTATTGTGTTCTCATTTTCATTTGTTTCAAGGTATCTTTTGATTTGTTCCTTGATCTCATTGTTAACCATTCATTATTTAGTAACATGTTATTTAGCTTCTGTGTTTTTCAGTTTTTGTCTTGGATTGATTTCTAGTTTCATAGCATTATGGTCAGAAAATATGGTTGATATGATTTCAGACTTCTTAAATATATATTGAGGCTTGTTTTGTGTCCTAACATGTGGTCCATCTTAGAAAACATTCCATGCACACTTGAAAAGAATGTATGTTCTGCTTCCTTGGAGTGGAATGCTCTGAAGATACTAGTTAAATCCATTTTATTTAGTGTGTCATTTAAGACCGCCATCTCCTTATTGATTTTCTGCCTGGAAGATCTATCCATTGATGTCAGTGGACTTTTAAAATCCTCTACTATGACTGTATTACTGTCATTCTCTCCCTCTATGTCCATCAAGATTTGCTTTACATATTTAGGTTCTCCTACATGGGGTGCATAAATGTTTACAAGGGTTATATCCTTTTGCTGGATTGATCCCTTTGTTACTATTTAGTATCCTTCATCATCTTTTACTATAGCAGTGATTTTAAATTGTATGTTGTCAGATATGTTTTGCTACCCCAGCTTTTTTTTTTCTTTCCATTTGCATGAAATATCTATTTGTATCCTTTTACTTCTAGTTTATGTGTCTCTTTTGTTCTGAGGTGGGCCTTTCTCTCTCTCTTTCAATCTTTTTTTTTTTTTTTTTTTTAATCCTTGCCCGAGGGCATTTTTGCACCTATCTTCAAACAGAGCAGGAGGGAGAGAGGGAGGAAGAGAGAGAGAAACATCGATGTGAGAGAGACACATCGAGCAGTCACCACCCACATGACCCCAACCAGGGCCAGGGACAAACTGCAACCGAGGCACGTGCCCTTAGCAGGAACCAAACCCTGGACTCTCTGGTCCACACGTCGATGCTCTAACTGCTAACCCAAACAGGCCAGGGCTCTCTTTCAATCTTTATTGTTGAATCTATTACTCGTTATTTTCCCCACTGACACCCTCATCCCAGCTTTCATCCCTCTCTGTCTTCATCACACTGTTGTCTGTGACCATAGGTTATGCAAATATGCATATATGTTTTTGGTTTATCTCTTCTTGCCCCTCCTCCCCTTCCCTCTGAGGTTTGTCAGTCTGTTCCCCCACTTCCTTTTTGTTGTTGATGTTAATCTTCACCCTAGATATTCTTTTAGTGAATTTTGGAGAGAGTGGAAGGGAGAGAGGGAGAGAAAGTGACAGAAACAGAGAAACATTGATGTGAGAGACACATCTGTTGGTTGCCTCCCGCATGATGCCAGCTGGGGCCAGGGAATGAACCTACAACCCATGTATGTGCCCTTGACTGGAATTGAACCCATGACCATTCGATCCCCAGGCCAACACT